AGAGCCAATTTCGGCGTCTGGGCCGATGCGCGGCCCCCCACCCCCGCCTGAGCCCTCTTAGCCTCTGCCCGCCGCGACCCTGACCAGCGGGCCTCTGCCTGCCTGCCGGCTTTCACCATCCTTGCCCAACCCCCCTCGCTCGCTCGTCTGACCCGCCTCGTCCGACGATCCAGGCGTGCCCACTGTCACCACCACCACCACCACCACCACCACCACCACCACCACCACCACCACCACTCCCCAACGCCCTTCGGCCCTCCCCCTTCCCCTCCTCTTGCCCCAGCTGGCTTGCTGCGGTGTCTCCTCTCCTTCCTCGCCGCCCCAGCCACCGTCACGTCCCACCTGCCACGCCTCACCACCTCAACCCGCATCGACACTGGCCCAAGAATCATACCCTGTCCGCTCGCCGCACCCTCGTCCAACTCAGCATAGCACATTTCTCGCTCGTCCCTGATTCGGAGCCTCGACGATCCCCGCGCCTGCCACTTCGAGTCACGCTCACGCCCACGCCCCTGGACGCCTCCGAGTCACGCTCTTGAACGCCTTCGACACACGCCCCAGCGCGCCGACCAAGCACCGGCGTGCCACTCTTGCCTGGATCCTTCACCCGCGGCCTCGCCTCGTCACCGCATCCCTGCTGCGCTCCGCCTCAGTCTCCCTCCTCACCAGCGCAAGTCCCAGCTTCGAGCGCTCAGTCGACCTGCCCGGGAGCGAGGTGCAGTCCTTGAGCCTCGTCAGGCCAGCCTTTTCGCCCTCGCTCGACTGGACCCCCTGATTCTCGTATCAGCAAAGGCTGCGCACCCGAGCAACAGCTGCCGGTCCAAGCCCGCCATGGAGACCGGCCCATCATCGTCGACCTCGTCCTCGTCGTCCTCGTGCGCTTCGACGGCCTCTCACTCGGCCTCGGCATCGGCCTCGGCATCCCTCTCCAAGTCCTCGACGTCCATCAACTCCACCACCGCCGCCGCTGCCTTGGCCTGCCCCGATGACCGGCCCATCACCTCGCTCGACAAGCGCCTCTACCTCGCAATCGACTGTGGCGGCACAAAGGCGGCTGCCGTCATCAGCGACCAGGATGGACACGTCGTCGGCCGCGGATTCGGCGGGCCTGCCAACTTTACCGACGTCGGGCTCGACGCCTTTCTCCTCTCGGTCCAGGAGGCCATCCACCAGGCGCTCGGCTGCTGCAAGAACCTCCACAGCACTTCCCCCACGACGCTGCCTCCCGGCGTGGCCCGCCGCGCCGAGCCCCTCTTTGAGGCCGCTTGGCTCGGCATCGCCGGCGTCGACAGCGAGGTCGACGTCCAGCAGCTCACCCCCTACCTCGCAACCCTCCTCTCGCTGCCCTACCCCTCGAACCGCCTCATGGTGGCCAACGACACCTCCCTGCTCGCCGCACCCGTCCGCGACACGGCGCATCCCGACATCCGCAGCGGCGTCGTCGTCATCGCCGGCACCGGCAGCATCGTCATGAGCTTCAAGGCAGACGACGGCGGCCTGCTGCAGACCTTGGGCCGCGTCGGAGGCTTTGGCTGGCTGCTGGGAGACGAGGGCAGCGGCTACTGGGTCGGCCGCGACGCACTCCGCTTCATCCTCGACCAGGCCGACCGAGATCGGCTGGGCGGGTCCAGCATGTTTGCCGACGACACGTTCGGCAGCAGCAGCAGCAGCAGCGCTTCCGCAAGCAAACTCGACGTCACAAGGGCAAAGGAACAGGACCACTTGCTCCGCGACCGCATCCTCGACCTCTGGAACCTCACCTCGGTCGACGAGCTGCTCAACGCCGTCTACTCTAACCGCAACCCGGGTCAACCGCGCACACCCGCCATGCGTTCCGGCCAGAGCTCGCCGCCAGAGGAGGCCGACCCGGCGCCGCGCCTCGATGACCTCTATATCCCGGACGGGCCTCTACAGCAGACTATGAGCGGCAGCGGGCCAACCGCGGCATCTTCGAGCAGCGACCGCGACGGCGACAGGCTGGTCCGCCTGATGCCACCTGCCGCCGCGCCGGCAACGCATCTCGGCCCGACGTCGCCGATCCCGTCGCTGAGCCCGTACGGATCCGTGGCGTCGCTGTCGGTGGCCTCGGCGTCGTCCTCGACCGACACGCTCGAGTCTGGCGTGGCCGAGCTGATGCTCGCCTCGGCGTCGTCGCTGGGCCGCGAGCGCTTCGCCGGCGAGGACGACGAGATGCGCCTGTACAGCGAGCCGGGCCACGA